GCATTATTTATTTACTGTGCTAGGAATTTCACATACATTATCTCATGTAATCCCAAAAGTTTCAAGAAGTAAATACTATTACTATCCCCATTCTACGGACGAAGAAACTAATATTTAGAGACAACATCAAAGAGCTGGACAGGTGTATAAATCTGGGTGTGAATTCTTTCGCAAGTTTTAATTTAGTATTTTCTGTCACACATTTTCACAATACTTTGGATACAAAATCTGAATGCTTGTCAGTCACGTCAAAACTAATCTAACCCTATTTTTTCTAGTCATATTTCTAGCCTCGTTGGTATGTAAAAAAGAAATTTATATGTTACTACTCTCATGAAGCAAGTCAGTATCATTTTTCCTCATGATATCACTGTGATTTAGGTACAGAGCATAAATTTCATTTGGTTCTGTCTGTCTGCCTGGGACTCAAATGCTTTCTTCTCTCTTCCCACTTCACTTTGGGTTTTAATGTTCTCCTTATTGCAAACACAAGCCTATTAACAGTTATTTGTTAATAGACCCAAGACTTGCAGCTGTCTTGGGCTTTCTTATCTAGGATCATTTTGTCAAATCAATAGTGATAGTTTGTTTGTAGTATTTTACTCATTTAAGGAGCCAAATATGACAACTGTTTTTGTGGTGCAAAAATACTTCAGTGAAGTTTATGTGCTGAGATTTTTGTGAGTGAGCAATTAGAATGCATTCTTTGTCTTACATTGCAGGTTTTTTTTTTTTAAATGAAGCAGCAAAATGAAGTCTAGTAATGCCAGCCATTTGAATGAATGGCATTCAAGGAGATATCAGACTTTAAAGGAAAAGAGTCAGGAAATAGTACTGCGAAATAGTTGTACTTAACATGTTGCCATTTGATACTTATATTCTTCATATCACGGTAATCTGGTGGGAAGCCACAGCACCAGCAGAAATGATGTGAGAAAAATGGGTTATTTATCCAAATCTATGAATCATATAAAATATAGCTTTTTTTTTGGCAGAAGATAATTGGAGAAAAATATCATGCACTGAATTCAAGACTTTTTATTGGACGTCCTCGGTGGAAACTTCTGTTTGACGAAATAGCAAAATGTAACAGAGGGTAAGTACTATACCTCAAAAAAAATTGACATGTGACTAATGATCAAATTAAAATATTCCCAAATCATCATATGAAGTTTCTAAAGATGAATTAGCAGTGAGTTTACAAATTACAAAGTCACTTAAGTACTCTGTCACTATCAAAAGAGAAAGCAAGGCAAATATCATCCTAATATCTATAATGACAACTAATTAAAGTTTGGCTTAGAAGTAATCTGTAATGTGTTTATGAACTAGACTGTTTTACCTGCTTTTAAATTTCTATAGACCCATATTAAAATGGGTATTAATTCCCACAACATATATCAGCTGATCATGGAAAAAGTTTTTCAAAATCATCGTGATTTGACCATCATATATTGTATACAACTATTTTTTTTTTTTCCTTTTTGTCTTTTTTCGTGACCGGCAATGGATTGCAACCCTCAGTGTCGCGCCCGTACCGGACCGGGACCGGCAACGGGATCGCAACCCTCAGTGTTGTGCCCGCACCTCCCTCAGCCAGTGAGCAGCCGGTCTGTACGTGGGATCTGAACCCTCGGCAGGAGCACCGCTGCGCTCTTAAGCGGCGCACTGTAGCAGTGCGCCACCGGACCGGCCCCGTATACAACTATTGATAGTCAACTTTGTGCCTCACAAGTGTGTATAATCAATTATGCTTCA